AAAAAAAAAAGAAAAAAAGAAGAAAAAAGAAAAAGAAAAAAGAAAAAAGAAAGAAAGAAAAAAAAAGAAAGAAAAAAGAAAGAAAGAAAGAAAAAAAAAAAAGAAGAAAGAAAAAAAAGAAAGAAAGAAAAAAAGAAAGAAAGAAAGAAAGAAAGAAAAGAAAGAAAAAAAAGAAAGAAAAAAAAAAAAAAAAGAAAGAAAGAAAAAAAAAAAAAAGAAAAGAAAAAAGAAAGAAAAAAAAAAAAAGAAAGAAAAAAGAAAGAAAGAAAGAAAAAGAAAGAAAAAAAGAATTGAAAGAAGAAGGCCGGAGCGTACAACGGCTGAAAATAGAAAGAAAGAAAGAAAAGAAGAAAATAGATAAAGAAGAAAGAAATGTAAATAAAAGACATTAGGTTTATATTGAGAGTGGGTTTACTGGGTGCTATAGATAATCGGGACTGAAAGATCTTTTTTTTCTCCTCGAAAACAATGGAAATATAAAAAAGAAGTATGGAAATAAAACAATCTCGTCTCCAGTACATAAGAAAAAAGAGAATGGAGTACTGCTGATATAGTGGGGAATTAAGGAAAGGCTAGGTTGGCTTATTTGACAAAAAAGAAAAAGTAAAAAAAATATAGGAAGGAAAATAGAAGGGATTAGAAATAAGAAAGAATTTATAAAATAAAGAAACCATCTGAATACTGATATAAAATGATGAGTTAAGAATTAAAGAATTATTTATTGAAAGAAAGAAATTAGGAAAGAAATAAAATAAAAGAGAGGAAAGAAAGAAAAGATGAATATAAAAAGAAAAAAAGAATAGAAAAGAACGAAAGAAAGAAAGAAAGAAGCTGGAAAGAAAGAAGAAAAGAGCTGACTGCTGGATAAGAGAATTGGGTTCCTCAAAAGGCAAAGAAGAAAGACAGAAATTTATATCTGGTAGAGTCCATGCGTGTTTGAGAAAATAATGGAGAAAAATATAAACATTAAATTGGGACCGTTAAGAAAATCTTCAAAGAAAGAAAAGAAAGACAGCCCAGGATAAAGAAATATAAAGGTATAGTGGACTAGAAAAAGATTTGTAAGTTCAAAGAACGAAAAGCAGCAGTGGTAAAAGAAAAGAATGGAGAATGGTGTGAATGTGGGTTATAGAAAGAGCAAGAAAGAAGGCATGGTACGTGCAACGAGAACAAGAAATATTCGGTGGATGAAATAGAAGAAAGAAAACAAACAAACAACGGTAAAAAAATAATGAAAGAAAACTAAAAAAAAGCGAAAGAAAGAAGAAAGAAAAGAAAGAAAGGATAAAGAAAGAAAGTAAATAAAAGAAAACAAAGAGGGAAATAAAAGAAAGAAAAAAGAAAGAAACAAAGAAAGATAATAATTCTAAGAAAGAAAGAAAGAAAGAAAGAAAGAAAAAAAACAAATAAAAAGAATGAAATACAAAAGAAAGAAAGAAAGAAAGAAAAAAGAAAGAAAATAGAAAAAAGAATGAAGAAGAAAGAAAGAAAGACTGGGTTATAGAAAGAAAATAGGAAATAAATCTCAGTTGGAAGAAAAGGACGCGGAAAATATACAAATTGAAGATAAGAAATTCGTAAATGAAAAACAAAATTGTTTTTCATCGACAAAGTTTTAACAAAAAGACATCCGAAATTCATAAAAGAAGAATATAAAAGATGATTTTTTAAATTAAAAAAAAAAACCAGCCCTGTTAAAAATTGTTAGAAAAAAAGAAAATAATAATGAAATGTTTTTTCAAATAAGAGAAAGAAGCAAGCCTCGGTATTTTTTTTCCCCAGAGATGAAATTGAAAAAAAAATTAAAATAAAAAATTGCGCACACGGAAATTGGAGAAAATTGAAGGAAAGAAGGCTTCTTCAACAGAAATTAAAAAAAAAGTTTCTCCAAAAGAAATGAGGAATCTCCTCTCGTATTAAAATTGGTTTTTGAACAGATGGAAACCCTTACTAAATGAAATATAATCACAAAAGAAAAGAAAAAACCCTAAAAAAAAGACTGATTTAGTCTAGATTAAAAGAAAAAGACGTTGAAAAAAAGGAGAAAGAATCAAACTTAAAGAAATGACGAAGGTGGGGAGAAATTATTCGATTTATGATTACAAAGAAGGAATGAGTTTTTTTCTTCTCTGTTTATTTTTTTAAATATTTATTCTTTCTAAAATAAATTTCATCTTTTTTTCTTAATTGATTCAATTCCTTATAAATATCTGGCAAACGGATTTTTGATTCATTCTTCACCGTATTAAAGAAGAAACTTTACATTCTATTTCGGAATGAGTAAACCCTCTTATTTTCGAAAAAGAAAAGAAAAAAGAAAAAAAGAAAGAAAGAAAAAAAAAGAAAGAAGAAAAAAAAGAAGGAAGAAAGAAAGGAGGAAAAAAGAAAAGAAAGAAAGTTGTGAAAGAAAGAAAGAAAGAAACAAAGAAAGAAAGATTCATAAAACAATCAAAGAAAGCGGAAAAGAAAGAAAGAAAACAGTTCTAAAAAGAAAAAGAAAGAAAGAAAGAAAGAAACAATAAAACAAAAAATGCAATGAAAAAAAAAACAAAAAAAAAAAGAAAGAAGAGAGAAAGAAAGTAATATAACAGAAAAGAAAGAAAAAATGAGAAAGAAAGAAAAAAAAGATAAGAAAAAGAAACAAAAAAAGAAAGAAAGAAGAAAGAGAGAAAAGAAAAGAAAAGATAAAGATAAAAAAGGGAAAAAAAAGTTTAAAAAAGAAAGAAACACGGAAAAAGAAAGAAAAAGAGAGAAAGAAAGAAAAAAAGAATAAAATGAGAGAATGCAAAAAAAAAGAAAAGAAAAAAAGAAAGAAAAGAAAAAAAAATTAAAGAAAGAATGAAAAAAAAACAAAAGAAATATTATGGTTTTCCGGTCTCAGATATAGAAAAAGGAAGAAATTAAAAGAAGAAAAAAAGAATCAGACGAAATAAATAATTCAATTTCAAATTTTAAAGAAAAAAAGAAAGAATCTTTTAGAAAGTCTTCATTTTGACTAGAGGAAAAAAAAGAAAGAAAGAAAAGAAAGAAACAAAGGGTGTTTCCGTTTTAGACAGTCAAAGAAATGGGAAAGAAAGAAGGAAAACAAGATAAAAGAACTGAAAAATTCAAAGAAAAGAAAGAAAGAAGAACCGAAAGAAAAATTCAACTGGAAAGAAAGAAACTGAAAGAAAATCGAAAAGAAAGAAAGAAATAAAGAAAGAAAAGAAAGAAAGAAAGAAATAGAAAAAGAAAAAAAAAAAGAAGAGAAAGAAAATTACTGAAGGAAGAAGTAAAAAAAAAAAAAAAAAAAAAATGAAGGAGATGAAAAAAAGAGAAAAGAAATTTTGAAACAAGGGATAAATCTTTAGAAAATTTTTTTTTTTTCTGTTTTTTTTTAATTTTTTCTTTTTTTTTTCAAAGAAATAAAAAAAAAAGAAAGAAATTCGAGAAATAAAAAAAATAAAGTGAAAATTTCTTCTTCAAAAACAAAACCAAAGAAATAAAAAAGAAAAAGTAAAATTTCATATTTCTTCTTTTCTCCTTTTTAATCAAAAAAAGAAAGAAAGAAAGAAAGAAAGGAAGAAAAGAAAAAGGAAGAGACAGCTAAGAAAGAAAGAAAAAAAGAAAGAAATGAAAGAAAAGAAAGAAAAATAAAGAATAAAGATTTCAAAGAAAAGCAAAAGAAAGAATGAAATAAATAAAAATAAAAAAGAAAAAAAGAAAGAAAGAAAAAAAAGAAGGTGAAAGAAAAAAAAGAAAAGAAAGAAAAAAAATTGAAAAAAATTAAAAGAAAGAAAGAAAGAAAGAAAGAAAAAAAAGAAAGAAAGAAAACAAATAAAAAAGGTAAATATTTTATTTTCAAAAAATATTTCAATGATAGAAAGAGAAAGAAAGAAAAGAAAGAATTTTTTCTAAATCCTCTTCAGATTTTTTTTTTTTTGATGGAAAGTTAAAAATTTTAATGACCAACATTTCATGAAAAGCTTCTTCTTCATTCTTCCACTTAATAAAAAATGAACAACTTTATCAAAAAGAAATAAAAAGAAATTTTTTTGAAATTATTCTATAGAAGTTTCAAAATTAAAAGAAAAATTAGAATTGGTTCAATTGAAAAAAATCTAAAAAAATGTTGCTTGGATTGGTTTTAGTTTTTTTTGAACTTTGATATAGAAAATTAAAGTCTACAGTAGAAGGTGAATTTATGGATAGAAGAAAATATTTCTTCTTGAAATTGATATGAACAAATTGTCACATTAAAAAGAACTATTTTTAAGATTTCATTTTCAGAGACAGAGAAAAAAAAGAAAAATAAAATAATTGCCAATATGAACCATTGAAATTATAAATAATAAATAAAAGGGAAATAATTAAAGGTCCAATTTTTGATTTGTTTTTTAACCTGAAAAGAAATTAGAGAAAGAAAACTTCTTAAAAATTCTTCTTCTTCTTCTTCTTCTTCTTCGTTAATGTCGAACTGCACTTTTCTTGAATTATCTTACATTTTTTCATTCATCCTTTTTTTGCTTTTTCTTCATCTTCCCAAAGATTTAATTTTTTTTTTTGATTGAAAACTAAAACTCTTCTTTGTTTTTTTTCTGAAATTTTTCTTCAGCTTCTTTTTTTCACCAATTTTTTTTTTTCTTATTCACTTTTTTCCTTCAATTTCTTCTGCGTTAGTGTAAGTTTATTTCTGAAATTTTATTTTCAATTAAAATTAAATATCGTTTTTTTTCATAAACGTTGAAAATTTTCTTCTTCTTCTTCTTTTATTTTCTTCTTCAGATTATTTCTTCTTCCGTTCATTTTTGAAACTCTGTTTTTTTCTTCTTTTCATTTCTTTCCATATCGTTTTATTTTTTTTTCTTTCTTCTTCATTTCTTTTTTCTTCTTTTCTTTGGTTTTTTTCTTATTTTCTTATTTTGAACGAACATGTTTAGATCTCCCTCTAGAATCTTCTTCTTTTCTTCTGATTTATCTTATTTATATATTTAAATAATTTCCATTTTATTCATTAAAAGATGAATTCTTTCTTTTTTCTTATTTTCTTCTTGTCGTCATTTTGGAATCATTCTTCTTTCCTCATTTATTTCTTTTTTTTTGAGAGATTTTTCTTCTGAAAAAGTTTCTTCTTCCAAGAAAAGGATTTTATCGCCCGTCTTCTTTTCTTTTCTTTAGATTTCATTTATTTTATTTCCTTTTTGTCTTACAATAGAAATTCTTCTTTTTTTTTTTTTTCTTCTGGGAAACAAATTCAAATTTTTATTCATTTCAAAATTCTTCATCTGAAAAGATAAAACAGTTTTCATTTACCTTCTTCCTTTTCTTCTCTTATGTTGATTTTAAGCCTCTCTTTTTTTCCTTTAATATTTTCTTTTTCGATTTTCACGTGTATTTCTTCAATTTCTTTAATATACCAAGAATTCTGACATCAAACCTTCATTTTTCATTCTTTTTCTTGTTTCCTTCTTCCTTAATCGTTCCTTCAGATTCTTCGTTTCACTTCTTCTCCTTCGTTAATATGATTTTTTTTTAAATTATTTTCTTCCTTCTTTTTATTTTTCGTTTATATTAAACTCTCTTTTCTCTTCTTCTTTGTTGGTGTCAAGGATTTCTTCTTTTTTTTCTTTCTTTTTTGTTGTTAATATAAAAATGAACATTTTTCATTCTTCTTTTTCTTCTTCGTCGATACCAAACCGAACTTTTTCCCTGTTTTTATTCTTCGTTCGTGAAAAAGAAAAACACTTTTTTTTTTATTCTCCTAAGACATCAATCATTTCTTGCTGTTCTCTTTTTTCCCCTCTCCTTCATTTTTGTTGAAGAAACTCGTTCATTTTTTCTCTTTTTCAGAAACTCATTCATCGTTATTAAAGTAAAACGATTCTTTTCTTTTTTTCGTTTCTTCATGAATGTGAAGGAAAATAGATCGTCTAGAGAACAATTTTTAACATTGTGAAGCTGACGGTAATGCCTAAGATCTTTATGAAGATTGGCTTTTAATTGCGATTTCCAAAACAGTAGTTTATTTGTTTGTTTATACAAACATGTTTGAATATATATATATATATATATATATATATAATAATATATATATATATAAAGATGTGTTGTGTTTTTAAATATATAATAATTAGAAAGAAAGAGAGAGAGAGGTAGAGAGAGAGACGCGTTTTATACACTGAAAGAAATTATGAAGGACAAAAATAGAGGGAATTATTAGAATTTGCTTTCATAAAAGAAATTTGGTAAAGGAGGAAATTATTTTAAAAAGATGAGGACAATTTTTTGATTTTATTCATATTATATTTTTACAGAAATATATTATATCATGAAATTATATATATATATAAGAATATATATATATATATATATATATATATATATATATATATATATGTGTGTGTATGTATGTAAAAGCATATTTATGAGAATTTTATTATGCATAATTAAAACATTATTCGGACTATGGTCCTCATCTATGTCGCCATGTTTATCACAACGTTTCGGCCGTTGTAATCAAAATATCCTTCTTCAGGTGGTTGGAATGACGAACTGAACCCTTTATTTCGCTCACTGGGGTAGACTGGAACTAGTTCCAGGTGCCATTTTAAAGATGTATTTATCTGAAGAGAGAAATCCCCTCTAAGTCCTCCACCGCCTTAACCAGGTATTGAACTCACACTCTTTGGGTCCTGTCACTGGATCTAACTAACGCCTTGTCTTTGAGGACATCTGTGTATGAATTCCTGGGTATTATAAACCTAATGTCTTCAGCCTTATTTTTTTACCAGTGCTCATAGCTTCGATGCATTGGTGCTAGAAAAACGAACCTGGCACGGGCATTGTCGGGTAATATTGCTTTTTCTTTCTTTTTTATGTGCGGTGTCCCTTCAGAACATCGGCGTTCATGGCTCTCCACTTCTTCCTGTCCCTTGTAGGTCTCAATAAGATTTTTCTTTTTCTTATTTTTACCAGACCTTCTTCGGCCATCCGCTTACTTAAGTATTACTTGATTTATTTACATTATTCGTACTGTTATCTTTATCTTCATTGCCATTATTAAATCATAGAAAGTTATTTTTTTTCTTTTCATTTGATCCTCTCGAAGATTGAATCGTTGCGCACATGTTCGGTCAGTGGTATCTGTTATTTACCATACCTATCAACACTAATGGGTAAGTCCCAATCCTCATAAATACGTTGGACACTATTGTAAATGCGCGTAATATGCCAAGTAGTCCACCACTAGAAGTGGTTTACCTACTGCACGCCGCTGGCGAGTATTGTATTTTGTTGATGTTATGAAGATTACCATTTCATTTCCAACCTCCGTTTTAGTTATTCCTCATTTAGTTTCTTTTCTTTACAACATTATCTATCTATCTATCTTTCTATTTTATTTAATTTTCACCATTATTTATCTATCTATCCATTATCTAGGGGAATATATCTATCTATTAAAATATCTTTTCAATATTATTTCTTTTTTTATTATCTAAAAATGAATTATTTAATCTATCTATCTATCTATCTATCTAGAGAAACAGACATTCATCTATTTATTCATTCAATATCTAAATTTAATGATTTTTTAATATGAATATGATGAATCCATTTATAACAGAATTTCATTCTATCTATCTATCTATCTATCTATCTGGATGATCAATTATCCATCTATCTCTATTCTTCTATATATCTATCTATCTATATAGACATCTATCTATCTATTTTTATTGAAAAATCATCTATCTATCTAAATTTATCTACAATCTATCTATTCTATTTATCTATCCATTTCTTCAAAATCTATCTATCTATTTCAGTTTCTGGGTGATTTATCTATCTATTTCAGTTGGCCTTCAATATCTATCTATTCAATTATCTATCTATCTAATATTTATCTATGAACCATCTAACATAAAGGGCCCATTCCCTTCAATAAAATCCATCTATTTCAGATGGATTTCAATATTCATCTATCTATCTACATTATTTCAGTTTCTTCAATATTTATCTATTGAAGATTATCTTCAATTCATATTCATCTAATCTATCTATCTATTTCAGTTTTCTTCAAATCTATCTATCTATCTAAATCTATCTATCTATCTATTTCAGTTTCTTCAATAATATCTATTCATTTCAGTTTCTTCAATATCTATCTATTCATCTATTTCAGTTTCTTCAATATTCAATCATTTCAGTTTCTTCAATATTATTCATCTATCTAATATCTATTCATGCATCCATTCTTGGAATATCAGGAACACAGCATATCTATCTATCTATGTATATATTCTTCATTTTTCAATAATTATCTAAGAATTTCAGTTTCTTCAATATCTTCAATCTATCTATCTATTTCAGTTTTTTTCAAATATTATCTATTTCATTTTTCAGTATTTATCTATTTCAGTTTCTAAATCAATAAATCTATCTATCTATCTATTCACAGTTTCTTTTTAATTATCTATTTATCCATCTACTTGTTATATACCGTACCTATGAACATTAACGGTTATAAAAATCCACATAAATACACTGGACACTATTGTAAATGGGGGTAACATGGTGTCTATGTAGTCCACCACTAGCAGTGGTTTACCTACTTCACGCCGCTGGTGAGTATTGTATTTTGTTGATGTTATAAAGATTACCATTTTATTTCCAACTTCCTCATTCAGTAACCTTTTCTAAGTTACAACATTATCCTAAGCATCCTTCTGTAGAACCATATTAGTTTAACATAAGCCTTTTTTTTTTACATCACACCTAAACCCTTTCTGGTATCGATTAGAAAAAGCAAACTAATTGATTAGAGTTGTCCTTATTCGATCTCTTTAAATCATAGTCCTCTCTGTTGGGGTGTCATCAATTCTGCCAAGAATACACACCAAACCCCCAGTCCGCGTGTCATTCTGCTTTGTACATCTCGCGGGCGGCTTGTGGGGACCGGGGAAATGATTGGTCGTCTACACCGGAAGGAAGTTTGAGAAAGATCCGGTTGTCTTGAAAGCATCTGAAGTCCGTTCCGAACAAGAGATAAGAGAATCTATAACAGAAAGAGTGATTTCATTTTCAGGAGCCATATCTAATTTGTCTTTTTGTACTCTTTCTTTCATTTTTCGTCTAACCTCACCAGGGGATCAGGAGATCACGCCCCCTTTTTTCGGATGCAGAGGCGGGGGAGGTTAAGTAAAAACGGATAAAGCTACTCCAATCTGCAAGTTATTGCAATTATTTAACTATACAGCGTCCGGTACAAGGACATTTAGAATCGGGCGTTTAGAGCACTGATTTATAAAGCCTTAGCGTAGGGACTTCTATTGATGAATATTATGAAAATATCTATGTGAGATGTGAGCATCCTATTCTTTGTTATTTTGATTATATATATTGTTTGGCGACAGGAATTTGTTAGTATTCAAAGATTTTTTTTCTGATTAGTATCCTAATCTTTGTTGTTTTTATCACATTATTTTTAGACGAGTTATTTTTACTATTCATTTCTTCCCTTTGATGAGTATCCCTATCTTTGTTATTTGCAGCACGAGTTTTTTTCAAAGACGAGATATCGTTACAATTCAATGATCGCATCTTTTTTTTTATCAGCAACAGGATATTGTTGCCATTAAAGTGTTCTTTCAGTTAAGTATCCCTATCTTTGTTGTTTGTATCACAACATTTTCAAAGCCTATATGCTCTTACTGTTAAATGATACTTTCAGACTAGTATCTCCATCTTTGTTGTTTTAATCACATCCTTTTTCAGCAATATTGTTTTGATGCAATGATCGTCTCGGTTTAGCATCCTCATCTTTGTTGTTTTTTCACAACTTTTTCAAATATGATGTGTTGTTATTTTTCATTTACACTTTCAGACTAATATCCCAATCTTTGTTGTTTTATTCCGATTTTTTCAAATATTATATGTTGCCACTTTTCATTTACTCTTTCCATCTAGTATCCCAATCTTTGTTGTTTTTATCCCAACTTTTTCAAATATGATGTGTTGTTACTTTTCATTTACACTTTCAGACTAATATCCCAATCTTTGTTGTTTTTATCACAGCTTTTTCAAATATGATGTGTTGTTACTTTTCACTTACACTTTCAGGCTAGTATCCCAATCTTTGTTGTTTTTATTCCGATTTTTTCAAATATTATATGTTGCCACTTTTCATTTACTTTTTCAATGTAGTATCCCAATCTTTGTTGTTTTTATTCCGATTTTTTCAAATATTATATGTTGCCACTTTTCATTTACTCTTTCAATCTCGTATCCCAATCTTTGCTGTTTTTATCACAGCTTTTTCAAATATGATGTGTTGTAAATTTCATTTACAATTTCAGACTAGTATCCCAACTTTGTTGTTTTTATCACGACTTTTGCCGTTACGTTTTTTTTTATTCCGTTATTCTTTCCGATTAGTATCCTCATTTTTATTGTTTTTAACACGACTTTTCAAAAACGAGATATTGTTATCATATAATGATCTTTTTTCAGACTATTATCTCAACGTCTATCATGATTATTACAACTTTTTCAAAGGCGAGATATTGCTATTATTCAATGTTATTTCCAAACTAATATCCCGATCTTTGTTGTTTTGGGCACATAACTTTTCAACGATACTGTTACAATTCAATGGCTGTTTCGGGTTAGTATCCTGATGTTTGTTGTTTTTTGATCACAAATTTTTCAAAATTGTTTTGTTATATTTCATTTAGACTTTCACACGAGTATCCTCATCTTTTTTGTTTTATCACGACTTTCTCAACGACGATATGTTGTTACTATTGATCCTTTTCAGACAAATATCCTCATCTTTGTTATTTTAAGCACATCTATTTTTTCATTGTTACTGTTTAATAGTTTTTATCTTTGTTGTTTTATCACAGCATTTTCAAAGATGATTTGCTGTTACTTTTCATTTACTCTTTCCATTATTATTATTATTAACACATCTTTTTCAAAGATGATATATTGTTACTATTTAATTATCCTTTCAGACTAGTATCCTCATCTTGTTGTTTTAATCACATTCTATTTCAGCGATATAGTTACTAGTAAATGGTTGTTTCAGGTTAGTATTGTGATCTATTAAGCACAACTTTTTCAGACTAGGATCCCTACCTTTGTTGTTTTATCACGATTTTTTCAGATACAATTTATTGTAATTATACCGTTGTTATTTCCCATTAGTATCGTCATTTTTATTGTTTTTATCATGATTTTTTAAAGATTATATATTATTATTATACATTGATACATTTCAGACTACTCTCCTAATTTTTGTTGTTTTGATCGCATCTTTTTCTCAGCGAAGGGATATTGTAACTATTCAAAGATTCTTTAGTATCCTTATTGTTGAAACTTGGATAAGCATGGAATAATAATAATACAACACAAAATGTAAGTAAACAAAATGTATTGAAACAAGGAAAAGGTACACAATATTTACAGTTAGTTTTGGTATATTCTTGGGAAGACTGTTCCTGCAGAATGGGTTGACTAAATCGTAGTCGGGCAGAGTCTCTCGATCGGATCTCTTCTTACATCCCCCCGTCTTCCGGTACCAACCCATATTTATATGGTCGGTACTCCACTTATGTAAATTAGGTGTATCGTACCACAACACTTATCTTTATTGTTTTTATTACAGCTTCTTTAAAGATGATGTATTGTTACTTTTCAATGATCCTTTCAAACTAGCATCGTCATCTTTGTTGTTTTATGAAATTTTTTTCAAGATATTGTTACTATTGAATGATTGTTTTGGGCTTGTATTCTTATATTGCTGTTTTTTTTATCAAAGCTTTTTTCAAAGACGGTGTGCTGTAAATTGCATTTATTCTTTTAAACGACTATTCCAATCTTTGTTATTTTTAGCTCGACTTTTTCAGATACCATTTAATGTTATACATTTATTCTTTCCAATTATTGTGGCCATCTTTATTGTTTTTAACACTTTTTCAACGACGAGATATTGTTACCATACTTTTCAGACTAGAATCCTCATCTTTGTTATTTTGATCGCTTTAGCGACAGGATATTGATACAACGGTTTTCTTGGATTAGCATTCTCATCTTTGTTATTTGCATCAGAGCTTTTTTCAAAAAATGATGTATTACATTTTCAATGATATTAAATCCTTATGATTTTTTTTTTAAAAAAAACGAAATAGCAACATCTTAGAGGTCCCTTATAACCGAAATTTAATATTCTTGGATGATTTGATTTATTTGTTTAACGGCATATCAACTCCTTATGGATCATTTAATTTCGAAAGTTAAATAAAGCAATGCTTAACACAATTTATGGAGAACTTGACCAATCTCTTCTGAAAAAAACGATTATGGTTTGCTTTTATTACCATGAGCAGAAAGGGAAATCGTTCATCCTTATTCCTATGGGATCCTTTGAAAAACTTTCAATAAATTAACGAACCCAGACACCATAAATTTTTCAGGGTTCTGACAATGGGGATTTGGGTGACAGCCCAGGACTCGAATGTGGAAAGGATTGTCACTTGGAGTTCCAGTCAACCATAAAAGAGAAGTCAAAAGATGAAAAATGATGATGATGATGATGATGATGATGATGATGATGATGATATATGGAGCAATACGTTTAGAGAGAGATAAAGCAATAAATGATAAGAGAGAAAAAGATATATTTTAAATTTCAATATGCCATTTGACGTGACAGGGAAATCGTTTTAATTTATCCTATGGCATCCTTCTGGATGTGTCTTCCTCGAAAGTATTTATTTTGGCAACAAGATTCAGGTTTGACATTGGGGACATGACAGCGATGCAATTTGAACGGTGTGGAAAGGGATTGTCAATGGAGTTCCAGTCAACCATAGGGAGGTTGAAAGATGATGATGATGATGATGATGATGAGATATTGAGCCCAAGAAGAGAGAAAAAGAGAGAAAACAATAAATAAGAGAGTGAGAGAGAGTGAGAATTTAAGAGATAAAATAAAAAAAACGACCATTGCCAATTGAACGGACAGAATTCGTCGCATCCACATCGAAATGGCATCCTTCTAGAAGTGTTTAGTTTTTTCAGGAACATTTTGATTTTCCTAGAAAAATTGCTCTGGAAAAATTTTTGAATATTGGGGATCTGGGGAAATAAAGTTCTTCTTAAAACAAGGGGAAAATTTCAATGGAGTTTGACCAACCATAAGGAGATCGAAGGAAATGATGATGATGAGCATTTAAAATTAAAAGAAAGAAAGAAAGAAAGAAAGAAAGAAAGAAAAATCAAATAAAAATGGAGAAAGAGAGACTTTTGAATATTTTTTTTGACCATTGTCTCATCCTTACTCCTATGGCATAAAAATGGAAGTCTCTTCACGAAAGCTGATTTAAAAAAATGAATTTCCCAGAGGGAAATAGATCGGGACCCAGGGTTGGAAATTGGGATCTGGAGACATTTTTGTTTACAGGACCGAATATAATTGGGAAAAGGATTATCAATATTTTTTCGACCATATAATAGGGAAGTCGAAGGTTGATGATGATGATGATATCCTTTAAGAAATAAATAAAAGAAAGAAAGAAAGAAAGAAAAAAAAAAAGATGTTTAAAGAAATAAATGTTCTTTTAAGAAAGAAAGAGATATGAGTTTTTTGACATTATTAAGTCATCCTTAAATCCTATGGCATCCTTCTGGAATTGTCTTCCTAGGAAAATTTTTCCCAGTCAGATAGGTCGGGACTCAGGGTTGATGATGAAGATGGCGATGATGATAAAGATGGCGATGAGGATGAAGATGGCGATGAGGATGAAGAGATATTTAGCAATAAAAGAGAAACAGAGAGACAAAGAAATAAGAAAGACATATAAAGCAATAAATGAGAGACAGTAAGAGAGATGAGTTTGTCGACCACTGCCACCGAACGGACAGAGAAATCGTCTCATCCTTACTCCTATGACATCCTTCTGGAAGTGTCTTCTCACGAAAATTGATGATGATGATGATGATGATGAATTCCGAAATTTAATTTTCTTTTAGAAAAAATGTGCTACTGATAATTTTTATTTTAATGTGTGACTAGCAATTTTCTTTTACAACGATTTTCTTGCTGGTTTTACTATGAAAATACATTTGCTGATCTTTCTATTACAAAAAAAAATGTATTTTTAGCCAACTTCCATAGTGCATTTTGAGCCAAATCTGGGGATTAAATATTGAAAATAGCTGGGACCCTCAAGGATGCTAAAAAAATAAAGTCTTATTTGACCTGGGAACAACAACAATTAAGAGGTGGTTCCACGCTCTTAAAAACCTCTCGATTAGACTCCTTGCCCAGACTCCTTATCTTTGTTGTTTTTATCACAGTTTTGTTTTTTCAGAAATGATGTATTATTAATTTTCAGTAATACTTCCGACTAACATCACAAATTTTGTTGTTTTTATGTCATAAACTTCCCTGCTACAAAATATTCATTCACACTAGCACGAATAACGGTAATTATATTCATGTAATATTTTTATGTCGAGCTTATATTCCGGTCGTCTAACGAAAAAAGGCAGGGAAACTAAAAATGTTTGATTTACACATGAAATTTCCTACAAAATCCAGAGACGAACATGCAATGTGTTTGGCCCTGATCTGGCATCTCGAAACAGTATATTGTTTTTCACAGATGAACTGTATATTCTTCTGTCTTTTCAAATGAAACAATATTCACGGTAACTGCACCGTTATTATTTTCGCATGAATTTAATCATATTACGTAGGTCGGCATCTCAGTCAAAACTTTTACTGTCGAAACGATTAAATTGTAGCCGTCTTTTTTTTTTTCTTCACGTCTCATACTTCCTGTTTATGGACTTCCTTTTAAAAATTGCTTCCCGTGATAGCTATAATTCCAACTATTCAAATGCAATGTCAATCGACATCTCCAGATGCCTTGAGGTAATGATTCGTCCTTCTTGAAAGGCATCATTTTGACATTATACCCATCATTTTTAGTCCAACATTCTGTAAACCCTCAAAATTCTAGTGGCATGCACGCCTTTATTTTTGGATGAAAAGTTGAAAAAAAAAAATTTCGCATCTCGGAACCAGCAGATTTTGGTTGAAATAATGTTTGCTTTAAGTTTCAAAATTTAAATGCAACGTCAATCGATCCCTTCTGTCATTTGAATGCTGAAAAAATTGTCCTTTCTCAGATAATAGTGTTACACATGGTAACAAACTTTTAACTGATTTAGACATTTCCATGACGGTCGACCTCGAGTATTGAAGATTAGAGGTTGCTGTATAGGATTTTGTGGAGACTTAGGAAAGCGATACTTTAGGTTTTGGAAGTTCACAGCAGAGTGAAGAAATTTCCTGGTCGCCTTTTTATCCTTCCGGTAGATAAAACAAGATTTTTGCCTTTAAAATATAACGACGAATACAGTGTTTGAGATATTTGGATTAATAACCCCCATTGGTCGACTATAAAGAAATTGTCATTCTGATGCATCATTTACAGGCGTTAATAGACCCAAAAATACAAAATAATAATCACTTGCGTCTTGATTGGAAATCTTTGTTAATTTCACATCAAACATAAGGCAATGAAGCCACTAAGACTCAATAGGTTACAGAATATATAAAAACATATAAGAAGAGAGAAATAAAAGATGAGGAATTAGAAGACAAGATAACGATTGACATTGCATTTAAATTTTTTTCCTTTTCTCCAAACAAAATGAATAAAAGACACTAAGACGCGACTATTCTTAACTGAAAAAAAAAATATGAGAAAAAGAAAAACAAGGAAATGAGAGAGATATTAAAAGAAGAGTATTTTAAGAAGACAAAGATAACGTTTTCTCATTGCATTTAAATTTTTGAAGATCAATGTTGAACGTCATCAAACATGGTTGAATAGTTGAATAACTGATTGACTATAGTTTGTTTAATGACATATCACCAACGAAATTAAAAATTTAAAATAACGAAATTTTTATTTTTTGTTTTATATATCTTTATAATATAATAAAATACGACAGATGTTATTCTGCTTTAAACATTAGAATGTCTGAGATCAAATTCTCAAGAACACCTTTAACTGGTTTCGGTCTCACATTTTATGTGGACCTGAGATGGAATAAATACATTGAGTCAATTGCTTCGTCCACTGCAAGGAAAGTTGGCTCCCTGAGCCGCGCCAGGAAATTTTTCTCCCTGGAATCGATCCTCCAGATCTACAAATCAACAATTCGCCCTTGCATGGAGTATTGCTGCCATATATGGTCTGGAGCCCCTTCTGTTTGCCTCGGGGTTCTTGATAGGCTCCAGAGGCGGATATGCAATATAATTGGCCCTGATCTGGCATCTCGTCTACAGTCACTTTCTCACAGACGCGCCGTCGCCTCTCTCTGTCTGTTTTACAAATACTTTCATGGAAATTGCTCCGAGGAGCTGCATTCGCTGGTTCCCAGACGTCATGAGTTCAAGCGCCCTACGAGGCTGGCATCCCGCTCTCACCCCTTCACTGTCGAAACTCCTAAATGTAGCCGTCTCTTCTACTCCAATAGCTTCATGTCTCGCACCTCTCGCCTGTGGAACTCCCTTCCCTATTCCAGTTTCCCTGAGAGCTATAATCTCCAGCTATTCAAATGTAATGTCAATCGACATCTCCAGTTGCCTTGATCTATCCACTACCCTTCTCCTCATCCTTTCTTCTATCACTCCTATCTGATCTTGCTCTAAATTTTCTGTAACCCCTTGCGTCCTAGTGGCTTCCCGCCTTGCTTGGGGTGAAATGCTAAAAAAAAAAAAATTAAAGATATATGATATATAAATTTATATATATATAGTTAAATATGAAATATGTTTTTGGAATTAGTGAAAAAAAATTTAAGAAATTATAGGATATTATAAAGAATACAGTGGAATTTCATGAAAAAATCTGATTTATGATGTTTTGTTAAATTTTCTTTAACCCTTTGCGTCCTAGTGGCTTCCCTGACAAAAAATTGATATGAATGCATTAAAAAAAAAATTTTTAGAAGCAATGATATATGTTTTTTATGTTGTAGTTTTGTTTTTTAAATATTTTGGAATACAGTAAAGAAATTTTAAGAAAAAATATGATATTATATGGAATATTGTCAAAAAATTCTTTAATGACAGATGGTTTATTTTTATTTTATTTTAATTGAATTTAATTCGTAAAATGTGTTATAAATGTTCCTGAGGATTCTTTTTATAATTTCGTATTTTTGGTATTTAACTTAAAAAATTTTATTTTTATACATTAAATAGTGTTTTTTTTTTTTTTTTTTAAAAAAAATTTATTAAAAAATAATATGTTTTGGGATTAAAAGGTTTACAAACATGGATTAACAAATAAAACAACATCAATTAAGATATGGTATAATCATTTATTTGACAAAAAAATTTCAATCTCCCATCAGTCCTTACTGCCGGATTTAAATATGTTTATGATTATTTTTAAGAATAAAAAGCAAATTTGAGAAGTCCACAATGGATGAGATTGAGATGAAGAAATTATTTTTACATAAATTTTTAAATTGTAAAATTTGCATGTATTGTTGTTAATTTTACATTTAAAAGTTTAAAACAGGTAACAAAGATAAAGTTCATCAAAACAATTTTTAAAAGTATTCATAGAAATGGCAGAGAAAAAATTAAAAAATATTTGTAAAAGTGATGAAACTGATGTAAAGATCTCAATTGATAACATCACAGATTCTAATCTCTAAATAAATAGCAGATGCCCAAGACCCGATGTGATAATAACATTCAATATATTAAAACGATTGATAGACAAGATTGATTCATTTTAAATAAATTTAGAAATTTTTAAAGATGGACAAGTGAATCAAATTTCAGAATAGAAAAAAGCAATTGAAAATAATTGATATATCAAATGTTATTTAAATGGAATTTATTATTTAAAAAGACAGATTTTGTTTATTTTTAAAAGTATTTGATTTTATCTACTTATCTGAATATTGAAAAAAATTCTTTAATGAAAGATAGCCTCCGGCATGGGTTCGAACTATCACAATTTTTTTGCAAAATGAAAATGTTGATCCAACTTTAAAACAAAAAGAAAAATGTAACTAAAAGAATATTTTGAAAAAAAAAACATCTAAAAAATAAAATTAATTTCAAAATATTTTTATAAAAAAAAAAAAATTTCAAAATTTTTTTTCAAAATTAATATAAAAAATTAAATTTGAATAATTATTTTGGTAAGGTTTGAATTATTTTCTTGTTTACAATTTTGGATGCGGCAGCAGTAAAAGATTTGATTGCCAACCAATCGACCAATGTCATGCATAGTTCCACACAATGAAGGTCTTTTGCACATCTCCATATGGAAATTCTTTGGAAAAGGATAAATTTGATTGAGGAAAATTTAGAGGCAAACCAAAAAAAAAAGTAGAAAAAAATAATGATCTTAAAAAAAACTTTTTTTTAAAGGAAAAAAAATTTAAATTAAATAAGAAGGAACAAATTATAAAAAAAAAAAGAAAAAAAAGAAAGAAGAAGATGGAAATAGAGATAAATGGAAAAATAAAGAAAGAAAATTTGAAAGAAAAAAATTTAAAAAAAAAAAAGAGAAAAGAAAAGAAAAAAAGTAAAAAAAATATAAAGGAAAAATATTTTGTTAAATATATAAAAATAGGAAATGGTGGAAGGAAAAGAACTGTTTAGAAAAAAATAAATAATATAGGAAAAAAAAACAAACATTGTGAGATATAAAAAAAAAAAAAAATGTATAGAAAAAAGAAAGAATGAGATCAAATGAAAAATAAAAATGTTTTTTAAAAAAAGATGAAGAAATTGAAAAAGAAAAAATTTACAAAAATTATGAACAGAAAAGAACAACATCTTATTTTTATTTTTTAATTTAGACCAAAAAAAAGAATTTAGGGAAGGAAGGAATTAAAGTTAAATGAAGCTCAAAAAATTGTTGAAAAAAAAAAGGAATGAAGGAATATAAAATAAAGTAAATTAGGGATTTTTGTTATTTTGAATGAAAAAGATTTCTAATAAATTGGATTAATTTAGGAATGAAAGAATGAAAAAGAATAAACCATTTCAGGAAAATAAAATCATGGAAGGAATAATCAACAAATGAAGGAATAAAGGAATATTTTAATGAATGAAGGAAAAAAAAATAAAAAAAGAAAAAATAAACAAAAAAACAAAAATTTCCTTGAATTGAAAAAAAATTTTTATTTCAAAAGAAAGGAAAGAAGGAATAAAACAATGAATGAAGAAAGAAGGAACAAAGGAATGATGGAAGAAAGGAATAAAAGAATTTTCAGGAAGGAAGCAAAAAAATGTTATAAAGATCTTACAAATAAAAGGGAATTCAAAGGAAGGAAAAAATAAAATAATTTGAAAAAATGATTGAATAAAGGAATGAAGGAAGAAAGAAAGGAAGGAAGGAAGAGAGGAACGAATGAAGGAAGGAAGCAAGCAAGCAAGCAATTGCTGAATGAATATATAAATTGAAAGAAAATATTCTAACATTAAATAAGACATAAACAATATGTTGCTCTTAATTTCTTTTTGCTGATGAAAGATTTTGGAAAAAAATAAAATAAATAAAAAAAAGGAAAAAAAAAAAAAAAAAAAAGAAATGAATGATGAAAATAAAAGATGAAAAATAAAGAAAAGAAAGAAGATCAAAGTTCGAAAAAAAAAAGAATTTCATGGTTGACTTTTTAAATAAAGAAAGAAAGAAAGAAAGAAAAAACGCAAGAAAGTTTTCAAATAATTTTGATGTACGAATGAATTTCAGGTTAAAGAAAGAAAGAGGCAAAGAAAGAACTTATTTAATATAAAATTAATATTTAAAAAAGTATGTTTTTAAATTGATATGGAAGTTTTTTAAAAAGATCCCACAGAAACTGAGGTTTGCATTTATTTTCCTTAATAAAAAAAACACGTGAATGAAAATAAAAAAATATAACAATCAATTAAAAACACCAATTTTAACTTAAAAAAAAACTGGTTAGAATTTTATAAAAAAACATTTAGAAAAAAGAAAAAAGATTTTTTATTTTGAATTTTTAAAAAAAAAAAAAAAGAAAAAAAAAAAATAATGAAAAATGTTAAAATTTTCAACAATTTATTTGCCACGTTTCAAAAAAAAGAAAAAACTATTTTTGTCAGATAGAAAAAAAAATTTAAAAAAAAATTTTAAAAAAAAATTAAAACAAAAAGTCCTTTTAAATAGAAAGAGAATTATTGACAAGGAACTACAGAAGTAAAAAAGATTGGATGCTCAAAATTGAAGAAATCAAAAGAAAACAGTTTGTTCCCCGGAAAAAAGTCCATAGAACAGCTTTAAAATAAATTTTATTCAAAATATATTTATTATTCCATAAAATATTTTCAAATATAAAAAAACTTAAACCATTAAAAAAACAAAAGGAAAATTGAAAACTGAAAGTTACCCCAAAGAAACACATGTATTTATATTATATATATTTATATATAATATATATATATTATAATAATAATATGATTTGAAGTTATTTTTTAGTTGCCAAGACTTTCAATTATTAGGGCATAAAAAAAATGCATTGAAATTAAATAATGTTTATAAAAATACATATAATGAAATACATTTAAAGATTTAAGCAAAAAAATCAGCAATGAATTTACAAAAAATAGACCAATTATTCTATCATTTTTTTTAAATTTCATTCCTTTTTATTGAAATAATGTTTAAATTTGTATATAAAACTTAAATATAGTAAAATAATTAGCAATAATTTTATTTATATAATAGCCTTATAAATCATAAAAAATTTTTCTTTCTTGACCACTGAAAATGACCTTGATGATTTTCAATTTCCTTAAAAAATTAGCAATTTTTAAAAATTAAGTGTATAAAAAAAATTTTATCAGTAAAATTTTCTTTACAAAAAAACTGAAACAAAATTATTGATTTCAAAAATTTTAACTATTTTAAAATTCATTAGCAAAATATTTCAATAAATATAATAGTTTTAATGGAAAAAAAATTTTTCGCCAAGGATCTTTTGACAATAAAATTACAGCAAGTTTTCAACAAGGAAAAAAATTTGATCAATTCAAATTTTATAGTAAAATCAATAGCACAATTTCCATTTTTAAATGAAATTTTATATTCTAAAATTTAATTACATTTCAATATTGAGGACACTGATAACCTTTCTTCCTGATTTTCAATGCATTATATAGTAAAAATATAAAATATCTATAAAAATAAATATATAGGTCTATTTAAAAGAATTGCTTGTCTTAAAATTCCTGACCATTTTACATTTTTCTTCCAATTTTCAATAATTTTATAGTAAAAACATTAAAAAGAATTTCCATTATCCTTTAATAGATCTGATTCTAAAAACCATTTGCCTTCATTGAAGACCAACTGAAAATTTTCAAAATTTTAAAAAAAATTCCTATAGTAAAATCATTAAAAATGCATTTCCATTAATATAAATATTTTATTAAATCAGTAATGCTTGCCTTCATTCCTGACATATACAACTATTTCTTATATATTTTCAATGCATACCTATAGTAAAATCAAAAAAAAAATTTTTATATTTACATATTTAGTAAATATTCTATCAGTAATGCTTGTTCATTTTTGACCATTTTGACAATCCTTTTTTTTCATTTTGATGCATTCTATATTAAAATATATTAGCAAAATTTTCCATTAAAAATATAAATCCCTATTTAAAAATAATACATGCCTTGATTCCTGAAAAACCAAACAATAACTTTACCTAAATTCAACATTTTTCAGTGAATTCTATATAGTTAAATCATTAGCAATTATTTACATTAAACATATATTATCCCTAAAGGTTATCAGTAATTTTAGACATTCCTGACCACTGACAATAAAATCTGGATCATTTTCAAAAAAGTTATAGCTAAACCAATTAGGCAATGCATTTCCATTATACATATAATAATTTCTATTCTATCAGTAATGCTTATCAAGGGATTCCTGACCAATGACAACCTTTCATTTCATGATTTTCAATTCTTCCTATAGTAAAAATGTTTTAGCAATGCATTTCCATTATACATTTATTAAATTATTCTATTTTATTTCATTCTTTTTTCATAAACACCACTGAAAATAATTTCATTTTCAATGCAGTTTGACAGTAATGAATTTTATAGCTAAATCATTTTCCAATAAACAACTTTTACATAAATGAAGTCCCTATTTTAAAGTACCTCTATTTTTCATTCCTGACCACTGACAATCATTTTTTTTCCTGATTCAGTAATGCATTTTTATAGTAAAATGTTTCAACCAATGATTTTTACATTATACATATAATATTCCTATTCTATCAGTAATGCTTGTATTCATTCCTGACCACATTGACAAAACTTTCTTCCTCATTTTCAATGCATTCCTATAGTAAAATCATTAGCAATGCATTTCCATTATAAATATAATAGCCCTATTCTATATTAATGCTTAATCATTCAATATTTCAATCCCTTTCATTCCCTCATTTAGGACAATCCCTTTCTTCCTCATTTTCAATACATTAATAGCTATATTAAATCAAGCAATGCATTTACATTATACATAAATATAGCAATATTTATATATAAATATTATAGTGTTGCAATGGATTATAAAAATGGATTGAATTTCCTGACAAATAAATCCTTTCTTCCTCATTTTCAATGCATTCCTATAGAAAATAAGCAATGCATTTTGTACATATAATAGCCCTATTCTATCAGTAATGATTAGCATTCATTCCTGGAATGACAATCCCTTTCTTCCTCATTTTTTGCATTCCTATAGTAAAATTTAGCAATGCATCCATATTCTAGCCCTAAAAATCAGTAATCTTGCATTCATTCTGACCACTCTCAATCCCTTTCTTCCTCATTTTCAATGCATTCCTAGAGTAAAACCAGTTGCATTTCCATTATACATATAATAGCCCTATTCTATCAGTAATGTCTTTTCATTATCTCAACGTCTTCTCTTTCAATGCATTCATAAAAATCATTATCAATCAACAGCATTATATTATAATCAGTCAGTAATAAATATTGACTGACCATGACAATTTTTATCTTATTTTCAAAAAGGGAAAAGCCCCACAATTTAATTATACATATAATAGCCCTATTCTATCAGTAATGCTTGCATTCTATTCCTGACCACTGACAATCCCTTTCTTCCTCATTTTCAATGCATTCCTATAGTAAAATCATTAGCAATGCATTTCCATTATACATATAATAGCCCTATTCTATCAGTAATGCTTGCATTCATTCCTGACCACTGACAATCCTTTTCTTCCTGATTTTCAATGCAATGCATTTCCATTATAGTAAAATCATTAAGCAATTCCTTTGACAATTCCCTTTTTCATTATACATATATTAGCCATTTATTCTATCAGTAATGCTTGCATTCATTCCTGACCACTGACAATCCCTTTCTTCCTGATTTTCAATGCATTCCTATAGTAAAATCATTAGCAATGCATTTCCATTATACATATAATAGCCTATTCTATCAGTAATGCTTGCATTCATTCCTGACCACTGACAATCCCTTTCTTCATTCATTTTCAATGCATTCCTATAGTAAAATCATTAGCAATGCATTTTCATTATACATATAATAGCCCTATTCTATCAGTAATGAATGCATTCATTCCTGACCACTGACAATCTTTTTCTTCCTCATTTTCAATGCATTCCTATAGTAAAATCATTAGCAATGCATTTCCATTATTATACATATAATATTTATCATTCCTATTCTATCAGTAATGCTTTCATTCATTCCTGACCACTGACAATCCCTTTCTTCCTCATTTTCAATGCATTCTATATAGTAAAATCATTAGCAATGCATTTCCATTATACATATAATAGCCCTATTCTATCAGTAATGCTTTGCCTTCATTCCTGACCACTGACAATCCCTTTCTTCCTGACAATTTTCAATGCATTCCTATAGTAAAATCATTAGCAATGCATTTCCATTATACATATAATAGCCCTATTCTATCAGTAATGCTTGCATTCATTCCTGACCACTGACAATCCCTTTCTTCCTCATTTTCAATGCATTCCTATAGTAAAATCATTAGCAATGCATTTCCATTATACATATAATAGCCCTATTCTATTCTAGTAATTTGCATTCATTCCTGACCACTGACAATCCCTTTCTTCCTCATTTTCAATGCATTCCTATAGTAAAATCATTAGCAATGCATTTCCATTATACATATAATGATTCCCTATTCTATCAGTAATGTTTGCATTCATTCCTGACCACTGACAATCCCTTTCTTCCTCATTTTTCAATGCATTCCTATATTAAAATCATTAGCAATGCATTTACATTATACATATAATAGCCCTATTCTATCAGTAATGCTTGCATTCATTCCTGACCACTGACAATCCCTTTCTTCCTCATTTTCAATGCATTCCTATATTAAAATCATTAGCAATGCATTTCCATTATACATATAATAGCC